ACTAGGGGAAGGAGCATGAACCTGCACACCGCTGGAAGCCGCTGGGAAGGGAGAGGGGCTGCCAGGAGGGTGGGCGCAGAGCCGAATGCAGTTCTGCTGCGGTTACTGCTGGCAGCAGAGATGAGCAGAAAACACCCCCGTTTTCCAGCCAGGTGGACTGATTTCTCCTTTGTGGCTAAATTTATGGAGAAGAAAAACCAAGTCGGTTCATCACCCTTTCCAGGTCTTGGAATGGTGCTGAAAAACCCTCTCCAACCATGTGGATGGAGATTAGAGAAACAGGACTGTGGTTTCTCTTAATTTCTGAGGATCTCAGAAGTTCCTGCAGACTTCATTGCTATGTGTTATTCCTTTACAAAAGGAACAATGATCATAGCGTGAGGGCTAGGAACAGCAGGGTGAACTTAACCCAGTAAAAACAATTTTCTAAATGACTCCATGCTATGGAGGTGATTCTGATCCAAATAGCATGAGCCATGCTTGTTATTTAAGGCTGATTTTTTTAAATCTTGTGTTGCAATGGCAACCTCGTCCATTTTAACTGGCACCTCAGGGATTAAAATCCTATTTTTTAGTATAGTTCCCACCTCATTCATGAAAATGAATAGAATTAATGTCTTATGGGAGATGTGTCAGTGAACTAGACAATAACCTCAAAGGATGAAGGGTTTTATTTTAAATAGTTTATAAAATATATATTAACATGCGTATTTGAAAATGCTGCATAAGAATAATAGTTGTGTTTTTCCCTTTTGGAGAGAAGAAAATTTTATGATTCCAGATAATCATAATTTCAAACATTTTTAAAAAAAAATCCAACGTTGGATTTCCAAGAAAAGAATAGGAATGGGAGGTGAGGAATAAAGTCAAAATAAGGATGGGATAAAAAATAAATGTTATGTAAAATCTTTTTTGTTTCACGTCTATCTCTGTGATTACCTTAAATGGCAGCCCTTTTAGATAGATGGGTTTGGTCTTTTGCCAGACCTTTCAAATAATTGGAGAAGTGGGAGAAATGAAGAAACTGGGGAATGCAGAAATGGCCCCGTATGACTAGGGGCTTTTCATTTTCTATATGTTGTACGTTATGGTTACAGTATAGTTAAGTGATTGTTAAGCAAATAGAGAAATAGAAGACTTACCTAAGGCTGGAAATAAGATGGTGGCCCCATATGGAGAAGGGCAGTTGGTAGGGAAGAGAGGCAGGGCTGCACCACACTCAGAAATGGGTTACAAAGGAGGAAGCAACCTCCTCCAGCCTGATACGATAGGTGTAGTGAGTTCTATCTGTCGACTCCCTTCTCTTGACATGCGTGGGCCCCTTAGAGTGTCTGGATGCTCCAGAGCCTTCCCGCTAGGAGGAGCTCCCCTGTCCTCATACATACCTGAGCGAATGGTTGGGACACTTCCTCTACCGGGATCTCTACTGCTTTAGCAGCCTACTCTCTGAGCTAGGGGCTTGGAGGACTGTCTTAAGACATGAACAAGCACAAATCTTTACTTGCCAAGAGGGGAATAGAGTTTACTTGAAATCCTCAGCGGCTGGCCTGATCACATCATTTTTGGTGGCCTCATTTGTTAGTAACAACTCCCCAAAAATCTTTTATCATTAAATCAGCACCTCTGAATCTGGGTTCTCACTCTTGTAGATTCAGTCCTTTTACAGCAATGCAGGAATCATCCCATTCTTCTGGGCATTAGATGAATATCATCTATCTTGGTCTCTGCCTCTTAGAAAAATGAAACAGTAGGGACCTTCCTTCCTCCCCAGGATGCACACAAAGCTGGCAACAAGGAGGGATGTGACCCTTGTAAAGGCAGGAGCTACAGGGACTGCAGTGGCGAAGGTATTGGCAAGGCTCTGGAACATCCGGCTTTCTCAGTTCTCACTCCAATATCCCTATGCCTTTATACCAAGTTCGAGTACATAAAGTTGCCATTTTTAGGGTAGCAGGGGCCTTGCCTGAGTCACAAAATAGGTAACAATTTAACCCACTGCTTCACTTCCATATACCAACAATTCCAGCTTTTCAACCCAAAATAGAGAAACCTCCACTGTTACCTTCTTCCCTGTCTTGACTCAAGCAGTTTCACATTTTAGGTCTGTCACTCACTCCGAGTTTCAGTTTATATATTAGGACACTAATTTGCAACGGAAAGATACCTAACTTCAGAGCATTTGTCGAGTTATATAATTGTGTGGGCCCTGTTGGATCTGGCTTCAGGGATGTTTGGGTCCTAAGGCTCAAATGCTATCAAAGGTTAGTCTTTCTCAGCTCTTATCTCTGCTTCCCTCTGTTGCTGGTCTCATTTTCTTCTACTTCACCTGAAACTGTAGTACACGTGTACCAGTATACTGTGTGTACTGTGTTGCATTACCTGCTACTGATCAAGCACCCACACAGCTCACAGATGTGTCAGGT